TCGTTCCGTACGATATTTGTTTTGAGTACGTCAGTACGTTAAAGACAAAAGATTTCCAGTTCACATGTTTTAAGACTTTTCCTTAATCTTGAGATGTATAATACGCCATACAGAATATGGCCCCTTCAGACTCACTCTGTATAAGTGAAATCGTAAAAATTTACTCGTTCTGTCCTTTTAAAGAAGCATATCTAAGAAACATATCGCGACAAAATCAATTGGCTGTTCAAGATCGCTATCCCACTGTACCATTTAACTACCCTCGCTGCTCTGCCTCTCGGTTATTCGCATGAATTGGTGGACGAGCACAGAACTTGGAAATTTCGTTTGTTTTCTTGCATTATCTCGATCAAATAGAACGTCGCAGAGTGAATCGAATACACGTGGTTGTAAACGAATGTAAGGGATGATCGAGCAACGAAACGACCAAATAATTTTGCAATTCCTGACGGGAAATCCCGCAGGTGAAAACTAAGAGAGCAAAGGCATCAGCGTGGATATGACCCAAGGGCATTCACGGCCTTGCGGAACACGAATGCGCCCCGGAAGTCCAGTTACACGATAAGTACAATGGGAGGTGGCCCAGATTTTCGCAACGATAAGGCTAAGCTCTTCGACCCAAACGTGTCTGGGAAGCAATGCCATTAGCACTGTGATTTACGAATGGACCGTCGAAAATCTCCCAACGAAAATGAATCCGAACGCAATCTAAATCCGGTTATTTTCAATCACAAGTACAATGGACCGTTTCTCAATTCCACAAACGCACGTTCCTACACGCACACCTGGATATTCGAAATATTTGTCGATTTATAGATTACCACCGCGAGCAAGTTCTTTTGGAAGCTGGATTAGTCATTTCTCCAAACACATTTGATTAGTTTTCTCGGCGAGTTGTGTATTCTGTGGGCGGAGAAACGCTGTGAACAGATCGGTGGCGAAAATGAGATTGCAGAGATCGATGAAGCAAATATGGACAAAGGAAAACAGAATAGAGGAAAATTTGAAGGACGATGGATTTTTTGGTGGATCAAAAATCTACTTGGAATCGTCGAGAAGTGAATTAAGGCATTATGTCAAACTGCTTTAAAATATTGTTTGTAAAAGATCCGTTATTTCAACGGTTTATTCCTGATTAAACAATTATTAAAAAGCGTCGAATGGATTTTTGAAAGAAAAATTGACGTAGAACTTCACGAATCTGTAAGTGCATTTACTTACTTAAGCAAAACATTCGAGAATCGTTGAAAGTTCCAAAACTCATCAAGACTGTAAGACCAATCAAGACTTCAAGATCTATTAAGACTTTCAAGACCAATCAAGACTTCCGGATCGACAAGACTCTCAAGACGTTTTGGTATCGAATAATGTTTCAAACGTTTCGGATATAACGCCACAGATTCGAATCGATACAATCCGGTCTTGAGCCAACCGCTGTACAAGGACCAATAACAATTACCACCTTCGATATTTCCGAAACTGTGAGAACGAGAGAACCAATTTTCCGGTAAAAATTGTACGATATTAAAGGGACTATTGTATGGTGGGAACGATTTTTGTACAGATGGTCTCGTTTGTAAGATTACCTACTATATAATAATTTACCTACTAATATAAATCGCTAAGTCAAATACAACAAGGTATAACATTAAGATCGTTCAAGATAGACAAAGATTACTGATGATAAAAATGTGGTCGACAGTAACACAATGTTAATGTGTTGTTATGTTTATTATGACGAATAATGAACTACGCGAAAGATAGCCTAATAATCATCCGTGACAACGTATACATGGTGAGATTAATATCAATGGGTCGATCGTACACGATGTATTCATTTGCAAAACAACTCGACATGGTTCTAACAAGTCAAAAGTGTAAACAATATCCCGTGATGTTTACACTCTTCATTTATTATTAAGATGACGTGAAACATAAACGATCCTGATCTAGTCGAAATAAAGAAGCATTACCTATTATTAGACCTGAACTTCGTCCGAAGACAGTTTTGTTATCCATTTGGTGGGCTTGGAAGGGTATTATTTATTATGAGCTACTTCCACAGGGCGAAACGATTGATTCTGCGAAGTACTGTCCTCGACTGGACGAACTTAAGGCAGCAATTGCCATAAAACGCTCGTAATTGGCAAACAGGCGGGGCGTTGTTTTCCACCGTGGCATCGCTAAGCGTATCTTTAGGCGTCCAGAAACATTTGTTAAAATTCAATTTGATTTCTGCTGTTATCCGATTCTGCGCGAAATTTATCGTTTAACTGTTCGATCATTTCATTAACGCAGTAATATTTTAAGTGCTCCGAACATCTGCTAAACTTCCTTTCACCGCAATTTACATTTTCAAATTATTCGTTCATTAGATCTTAAAGTTTCATAGGTACAAAGTTGTACGAATAACATTAATATATTCATGAAACGCACCACCTTAACTCGATCGATCGACACGTCGTGACGTCGAACAGCTTTCCGTTCAGTTATCGCTGATATTTTCTAATTGCGACTGACAACACGGCCATGATTCGAATAACGTAGTTTCGGTCTGTTCTTTAGTTTTCTAACAGGATCATTTTCCGCGGAAACCGTCGCGAACGTACTAGCTTCCGGTTATAGTGATTGCTACACCAATAACGCAGCATCTTGGAAAATACTTTCGTGAATTTACAGAAAGCAAACACGCATTTTACGAGTGTTTCTCGAAGACTGAAACATTTACGAATGCAATATCTGGGGCACGATATTCTACGAAATTATAACATTACTGAATTTATATGTAAATAGTTGAATATTGTGCAAGAAACCTCTAGTAATATACAGAGTGAATTTAGTCACTAAGGTGAACACTGTTTCTATCGAAGATAAAAGAAAAATTGTGCAGCGCGGTGCAATTTTTCCAGAAGTAAAAGAATCGATTCTATAAAGTACTTTTCTCGTCTCTTTGTCTTGATTAAATTCTCAAGAATTTTTAAACAAGATTCTCGAGTCCCGAATAGCAACGAAATAACTCTAGGATTCGTTTTTCTAATAAGACAGAATCCCGAAAAAACATGATTGTTATTTAATAATCGTTTATTTCAAGCGACGATTAATCCAGACAGCTAGTGTCCAATTACATAACTTTGGATATAGACAACTGTATTGCAATACGCGGTGCCACTCGAATTCTACGTGCGTGTCACGAATGTTTCACGAGCTCAACTGCAAATCAGTGGAATCCGTGGTGTGTTGTCAGTTGCAACGAACATATCGAACGAACATGTGATCGCTACGGGCATTTAGTCTCAGGCCAAGTACATACATACATACATACAACTCCAACGTAACACAAACTCTATGATGCGAACGTTTTACAAACATAACTACGTATCGTTGAAATTTTCATTGGTATCTAAACCGCCAACGTGATATAAAAATTGTCTAATGTTTCGTGACATCTTCGTGGAAATATTTACTCGCTATACGGGTAATTTTGAGTTATACGCTTAGCTTAGCTTCATTTATGGACCAAACTGAGGTACTCAAGAATCCTGACAATATGATTACGCGAAACTATGAACGTGGATGATATAACATATAGATGACGTAAGACATAGACTCGAACTTTAATAAGCTTAGTGGAGGGTGATATATGTAACGAAATAATAAGATAGACTAAAGATTGGGTGACAAGGGCCAATAACCACTGACTGACAAGGTCACTTACACGTGACAGTAGCTGTCAAAATGTTGACAACTTTCACTTTTTCGTCTAATGTTAGCATTACTCAATTTCTTTTATCACTCACTGCGTAACATACGTCGTACAAGTGTTTACTATTAATATCTTTAGGATATTAATGTTTAGGTCTATCACTTGATGAGTGAGTATAATTTGTATTGGGTGATTATGCTATCTTATTACTCGTAATTTCGATTAATTTGCGATTATTTTTCTAATTAATTACTAAAACTAACCACGGTAATCATGAGACAAAAACGATTGAACAAGTAGATTCTTCCTTTTTTTTCTTTAGAATGTATTTTTCAATTTGCTTGAGCTAATGGGGTAAAAGTGAGGCCGGCAGTAACATAAAAGGTATTATGTGCTGTCCTGTAACGTGTTTCGCTTCATCGGACTTTCCAAAAAGTGTCAAAAAGCTTTTTTTACAGGTCAGGTCCATGCTACTAGCACGAATATTTTTTTAATGGAACAGACTCACGCGTATACATTGTACAAAGTGATTTCGAGCCTCGCTACTTTTTCTATAATTATCTGATTAGTTGAATATTTTCTTTGATTGTATCAATAAAACATATATCTTCTTGGCTTTCAAAAATAAGATTTTTTCCCGAAACGATTTGAACAGACTAGAAGTATTCTCTTAAGAGCGCGATTCTTGTTTTATACAATTCGTCCGTGTAATCTTATTATTAATTTAAGTTTCGTGCTTAACCTTCGACTTTAATTTACCAATTTATTACTCGACTCGTTAACTTAAATGTAAGTTGACTTTTAATTCTCTGTTCTTCGCCGGTTCTTTTACTTCTCCTCTACCCTAATTAAAGTCCGTATTTTCTTGTAGATTATTATAACTTATGTATGCTCGGAAAGACTCGAACACGAAGTTCGACAGAATTATAAATGAAAAATCATTGCAATATTGCGGTGAAAATTTTTGCATGCAATTTCCGTCGCTTAATTAAATACTATAAAAATAAATTTAAATAAATTTTTCTCGACAATTGCATAAATTGTCAAAGACAAAAGACATTGTGCAAGTATAATAATTAAACGAAATACTGAACGATGTGGTAGGTACCACGTCTAGTTGCACAGTTAATGAACCTTCTTTGTGCTATTAAACAGATTTACATACATTTTCTTTGATGCTTCATAATATATGTACAGCATAAATTTACATTTTCTACCGAATGCTATTCTTCATTTGTACCTTTTCAAACACTGGTTGAAAAAAATAAGATATTAATTGGAAATGTACTTGTTTCAGGTAGTAAAAATGATGATCGTCGTGGTGGTGATATTCGCGGTCTGCTGGTTACCTTTCCACGTGTATTTCATCATAGCATCGTACCTGCCCGAGATTACGAACAAACCGTACATCCAAGAACTTTTCTTAGGCATTTATTGGCTCGCGATGTCCAACAGCATGTACAATCCCATAATCTACTGCTGGATGAATTCTAGGTAAAATGTAATTTTTAAAGATCACGTAGTTACCTTTAAATGGTGCCTTAAGATTTAGATTTAGACTGATGAATTCATAGCAATGTACATTTAAAGATAAGTACAGCAAACTATTTGGCAGACATGTTTGTTCGAATAATAATACATTCAGTTTAACTGATACTTTCATATCCCAAGTAAAATAATGTAATTACATGCTGTTACTAGTTTAACTTGTTTGATTGCTGAGTTGCATAAATTTTCTAACAGTGCATCTAACTATGAGGAATTATACTCTGTTCATGACTCAAGCAATTTAACGAGACCACTTTCTGATTCAATTTTAATTTATTTTGTGTTTACTAATATTGCTTATCGTGTTTCAAATGATAAATTATGTAATTATATTCTTATGTAGGAATTGTGGTAAGTTTTGTTGCATGATATGTTATCGAAGAACCGCATAAACCGTCGAAGACAAATCCACGTAACGTCAACTCGCCCACAAACAGAACGAAACGGGTGCCGGACGATTGATTCGAAAATAGCCATTTTCCGGAACCGCTTTACACGTCATACACAGGAATTGTTTCCGTGCAATTTACCATATCCTGGGTGTCATCGTTTCATACCAAATAACTGAAATACACGGCTATCAGTAACGGACGATTTTGTCACAGTGAAAAATATATAACATCTAGTCCTTCAATATTTCTACGTCTCGTATTTAAATAAGATTTTCCGCGAAAAGGAAATCTCAATTTTCAACGCAAACGCAATTTCGTACGAGTTTCCTCATTTTCGATCCAAACACGTTCGGCTACATAGTTATCTAACCATCAATGGGATCAAACGTATCGCGAGTTGTATCGAGACCTAATAAAATATGATCGAATCGTGTATAAGTACATAAAAGTAGTTTCCATCTTCGCGAATCGATTCCTTCCGATCCTCTTTCGTAAAGCGGTAATTCGTAAAAAGAGAACTACCGGTAAATATAATCGAATTCTAATCGAATCGATGAATACGTAGTTTGGAACAATAATAGAACGTATATCTAAAACCGTTTCGAAAAGGGAGCTTTCCTGCTTCAAATAGTGGGACAGTTATGAAGAAAACACACGAATAGCTTCATAATTAAACTGTTCTAAGAGAAAACAAACTTCTTCGTCTATAAACTTCGGACGTAGTAAATTCTCCCTTTTCGAAAGAAGAAAGGCGCCTTTGAATAAGTTTTGAACCCATTAATTTAACAAATAGTGAAAGTTATTGTATCTTTCAGATTTCGGAGGGGATTTGCTCACTTCTTTTCCTGGTGTCCATGGATACGCATCCCGCTGGAGCCCGCGTTATCGCGATCAGAAGCCGTAACGTCTCGGTATAGCTGCACCGGAAGTCCTCAGACACACACTAGGATGTCACGGAACGGTACGTCCTCCTGCACGTCCTCGGAACGTCCTTGCACTACATCGTCCACGACACCCACGAGCCAATCACGTTTCGAGCACGACGCCGCCCAAACGGACGAACGAAATTCTTACATAGATTTGCACGACCTCTCGACCAACATCGCTGAGTAACAGAAAATTGGGCAGTAACTGTTTTTTATTCCTGATTACTTTTCTAATTTATTAATAAAAGTAATCACGATAAGAAAAAGAAGTAGTTATAAATACCATCTATAGCCTCTAATTATAAATCAGTAATTTGTAGTGATTCAATGAAAGATCATTTTAGCTTCACTAGCTCTTTTATTATTAACTTACTCGATCGATCGTAAAGCGTAATTAATGATTGACGAGTTAATTATTGATCACTGGCTTGAATAATCGTTAATCGAATTGAATTTTGCCCAACATTGTCAGTAACAGAATCAAAACAATGATTCTAAATCCTTAAGTTCATTTTTTACACGAAAGTTTTTGCGTACAACAGAATATAGTTTTAAAAACTGATTTTAACGAACGAAGAAAAAACAAGGAAGATCGTTTTGATTCTTTTTGCACTTCCGCGCAAAACAATCGCAGATCAAACTACGAGGACCATCGAATTTATCTCGAACAAATGGAATAAAGGACCATTACATTTCTCTCTATATTTCGGAGAAGTATCACTCAGGGCCTAAAATACTATTATAACAACTTGGATTTAAAAATGCCTTCGACGGAAAATAATAATTATAAATACTATTAAGTGAAAAATACTGAAAAGTACAGTAACATTTAATGTTATTGATACTGCTTACATTTTATCTAAGCCAATCGGAATACACAGTCGTATTAACGAAAATAATGTAATGATAAGTCGTATCGATCGTTTTTGTATATTATTTAAGTTAAATATGAAACTGTTTATTACGCGTTTTATACATTTTAGGCCCTGGTTCTATTTTCATCGAACAATACTCGAAACTCACAATCAGACAACATATGGGAGCTTGAAGTTACTTCGTATTTTATAGAAAACACAAACTACAGAAGATTAATAAAGTGAGGTGGTGTAAATAGATCTTCGTTGAACAAAACCGTCAATGTTACAGTATTTTGCAAAATAAATTTACAGTATATCAAAATTCTACAATACTTACAAAAACAACTTAATAAGCCAAACAAAATGAAAAACAATATATCTTTAATAATCAAATTTTAATGTTATTCCACCTCATCTTAACGAAATGTAAAACATATACATATAAAAGAATACTAATAAAAAATTAAAGTGTCGCACACATTTAAAGCAGACGCAAATATTTACAAATATATATTTTTATAATTCCAACTCCGATCTCCCGTATAAAATTAATGAATTTACTTCCGCGCATACAATTTCTGTACGTTAATGTTTCATCTTCCAAGGAACATCCACGAAGTATCTAATGCCGATTTTTGTGAAATTTTGCAGGTTTGTAAAGCAGCCAACAAATATGGACCAATTATTGTTTTAAGTGAAATAACACTCGGCTTACGGGGTGAAACTGCTTTCAGATGTTACGACTCTCTGATGCTATCTTATAAATTAAAGAGGATTCAAGGAAATTTTCCTAAACTTTACCGTCGTTTACACCAGACCCGACAAATGTTATTTGAAACTTCCTTATCCCTCTAATAATTTTTCGAATAGCATGAGAGGGATGAAAGTTTGAAGCTTCGTCCCTTAAACTTGCGATTCCCAAAAATTTGCAAAGTTCCGTCAAAATCAGCATCACATGCTTCACGGATGTTCCCAGTTAAAATAAATTATGACGCAGTAGAAGTCGATACGCATGAATCGATGTATCGATGCAAACAAGACCTATTTCTAATTTCAATAGGCACAGCACGAATACCTTTGTACCTGCAATCAGCTAGAGGAGGAAATGATCGTTTTCTGGCTCATCATCGAGGGAGACAAAGGATAGATACCTCGCAAACTAGAGGGCATGTATCTTGACAGGAGGAGGTAAATCCTCAGCAACAACGAGTACATACCTGGATATAAAAGTACATATCCAAAGCAGCTACCTTCGTCAAGGTTCAATTGACTCAAGAAATACAGAAGAGTAAACGCCGATTCTCTTTTATTACTCAAGATCCGTTACTGACCAGAACGAAAGCTCAAATATTGTTGGCACCACACGATATAAACATTAATTATCTGCTAATGAATAATTCGAGTTTCTGTTTTGATGTAAATACCACTGAATCGAGCTTCAAAGCAGTGTGATGACGACAGATAATCGCGTTAGAGTTCCTCCTCACCCGCATATATTTCACATTTATTTAGTACAAACATATAATATAAACCACAAAGTTTTGCATTTTCTACGTTATTATACGATGCACAGAGTTAGAAAGTAATTTTTGCCATTATTATTGTTAAATCATCTATTGCAGAGAAAAAGTGAAATCAGTTCTGGACGAAATTTTTAGCCATACCGAATCATATGTTTTAATCAACTATCGTAAGGCTTATGACTAAACGAAAATTACTCAATACTGTCCATAGTCTACTTACTCGTGAATCACATTTCTCTTAACTCAGAACTGATTCTCTTTCTCTCTATAGTAATCTTATTCGTTGTTTGACCTAAGTATAAACAATAATGGACCAATGATCTACTTACAAACTTTGTTTCTTCCCTAATGGAGAAGGGCTGAGAGAAATTATGAAGAATTCATATTGAGAATGTACACTACGATATAGACTTAATATGCGCTACTTGTTCGTGGTGCATAAGGTGCTTAATTAATTACTATCCGTGTTCCTATCATATGTATTAGTAATCGTGATAATCTGTATACCAAAGAATACTAATTTTCATTGGACAAAGATATTTCCTATTTCAAACTGTATTTTTTTAAGAAACGAAACTCATTCTTAATAGTATGTTCTAGTAATATTCAATTATTTGTTATTTGTTATTTCGAGAAAAAAAAACAAGAAATTATAAACGGTTACAAAGTAAATGAGACATCCTTTGTTCTAACTTTAACAACTATGAAGAATGAACATTAATATTTAAATTTGAATTCTTAAAAAGTACATAAATTTGCATATCAATGACAATATTTAATGAGAATTTAATATTTAAAGATGTATTTAGTTAATTTTTATACAATCTGAATGCAAAATCTTCAAAAAATTTCTTAAGTATTTACCACACACTCTCTTGTTTTTATTAATATCTATAAAACTGCCAATAAAATATTACCTTCATTGTATTTTAAATAAGAGAAAATTAATCAATTTTGTCTTTTTTCAAGTCATAATAAATAATCTTGCCTTTCCTAATTAAAAAAAAAAATAAATAAGAATTTCTTGTCCAACATTGAATTATAATATCAAACACATGCATGGAAACTAAACTTATACTTCATTGACAATGTCCAGAAAGGTAATATCTTTGGTACCAATTTCTGTTTAGTTCATCGATTATAATGCGGAGCAAAAATACTCTGGGGAAAAACAAACGCTTTTTAATATACCAATTAAGTGTACATATAGACGTTACTGTATTGAATGTAATGAGGGAGGTTATTGATAAGATAAAAAATGAGTATATTGTTCAATATGTACAAATAAAATATGTTAGCATTAATGTAAGAAGCTGTTTTTGTTTGTATATAAATGTGAAGGTTCCACGGATAAAAGAGAGGATATTAATTTTAACAAAGTTTTAATTTAACATTTGTTTGTATGCCATATGAATATTGTATAGTATACAACGAAAACATAGAGAACGTTGAAGAAAATAATAGAAGAAAATGTGAAGTTGTGGCATTACATTGGAAAATAAGTTTTCGTTTTCGAAATACAGTGAAAACTCGATAAATGTCGCTACTCCGGGTCCGGTCAGCAACACTTACGGAATAGGAGAATCGTCTTTCGAATTTGATTGTAGTTTGCCGACGCTTCGAACGTAGAAAGAGTCAGTAGCTAAAGAAGAAAGAGGGACCGAAACTCGGATTTATCGCCCCAGTTTAAATATCCGCGTCAGTGTGACCACACTACTGCACAGAAGAAAGTTTTTTATTTTTTACTTTTTGTTAATAAAAATTTCACTATCATGTTGGGGAGATTTCTCTGATTAAAATGAGGCTAAACACGATATAAATCGGTCAATATTTGGTAGCATAATATTGAATTAAATATTGTACTTGCGAGTCTTTCTCTCTTTATTTATCCTTCTTGTGCTGTCCTTTTCTATGTTCGGAAATATCAAAGAACGACGCATCGAGGTGCTGGCTACATTTATCGAACGGGAGGTAGCTATTTTCAAACGGAACGGTTCTACCGTTTCGTAAGTGATCAAAAACTGCAACACTTATGAAATAGGGGGTTTCGTTAGCTACCACTGTTCGATAAATGTACCAATCCACTGACCTTGCGAAGATACGAGTACACAAATATTGGCCGATTTATATCGTGTTTAGTCTCATTTTAATTAGAAAAATCTTCCCCACATGATAGTAAAATTTTTATTAAAAAAAAGTAAAAAATAAAAAACTTTCTTCTTGTACAGTAGTGTGGTCACACTGACAGGGACATTTAAACTAAGATGACGAAGGCAATAAAGATTTTTAAAGAAAGCCGCTACGTCTCCGGTTACACTTCGCCTCACTGGTTCAAGGGGGATCCCCCTAGTGGTGGGGATAAAAAAGTATCATTTATGGAACAGCTCTTGAAGACATTTATCGAGTTTTCACTGTAATACTAAAATTTGATATTCTCCCTTTTACCAACGGACCCTTCTTGGGTTAGGAACTGATCGAATGATGGTACGATTGATAAGCAGGGTTCCCACCACCGTAGTTCCCCGCTCGGTTACGGGCAGCACCGATCGGATTTGTCGGAATAGAATCGTTTCTAAGTAACGCAACAAACTGATACCCTGAGAGTGGGGAAAGGTACGAATCTCTCTAGTCTCTACCTGGTCTCTTTACTACCACTGCAAGTAAAAATTATTATCTAAATTGATGCACGTGCAACGTCATCTTCATGGTATACCAAAACTGTATCAGTTTTTAAAAATTTGGTATACTTAATCGTTTATTTTTTATTTCAATTTGATACAAATTAAAAGTATTGGAGGTAATAAAACATGCTTTAATGTTACCACAAATTCTTGATTTCAAAACACTATTTTGCGGTAAATAATCCAAACGTATAATTAAATCTATTGGTAAAAAATGAAGAATATAGCTAGAACATAAACAAATTTCATATTTTGATTTTTTTTGTTTTTTTGAAGTAATGAAGCAACTATCTCTATCTACCTACTTAAGCTTTTGAGTAACTAACAATTAAGTAATATTTAACTGATGTTATTATATTACAAAATTCAAACTGCAGAAAAATGATATTTCATACATAATTACATACCAACCTAATGTAAAATGAAGACAAGAAGATATATGACATCAAAATAAACACTTGAAAATGATATTTGTATTTATTTTGTATGAAGTATTTCATCATAGGTATAATAACATTCTGTATGTATAGATATACATATAGAATAAAGCACCTTAAATTTAAGTATTTAACAACCTTAAAATGGTTGGGCATTTAATGCATTAAAAAATGTTTTAGAATATACATGGCATTAAGAGGAACATATAATGCTTTAATCCTTCTTTTGTTATATTACCTTATCAAAATATCCTAGCTGCTATCAAATTTTGTATTCTTAATTGCCAAATCTACTAAACTTCAAGAGAAAAATATAATATACAGTATAGGAAAAGGTATTGTATTATCATAAGATATAGATAAAACTATTTGATCAACTTCGATTATTTGAGATCTCACATAAATGTGAGAACATTAAAAAACATTTTTTATAACAAGATCACATATGAAAATCCTAATAACTGTTAATTTTAGATACAAGTACTATAATACTTGTTAACCAACTGTTTTTAATTGCAGCTCATTTCATCCAAAGAAAGTAAGTGGATATTGTACAAAAAACAGGTTGTTGTATGTATCCTATGGTAACATGTACTTCTGTTAAGAAATATTATATATAATAAACATTTTGACAAATAATTTAAGATTGTCTGAAGGTGACTCACACTGAATAATAAATTTAGTTCTGATATACATTTACTAAATATTTAAATAAATTATACCTCCAATAAATTCTGTTTTCCAATTTTCATTCTTTAAATCGAAATTATTTTTATATCTTACTGTCAAATATCATAATATTTTAAAAATTGTAACCTGAAGCATGTACCAATAAAAATACCCTATTTTTTAAATCACTTTCAATTTTTTTATTGCGCAATTAAGCAAATATATTTTTGGTATTAATGTTTTTAATATATTATACATTCATTTAAATATCAGCATAATAATTATTTTACATAAAATTTAAGTTGAACATATCCCTTATTCTTATTTATCTCATCCCAAATTGAACATTTAAATGTCGACAAATCCATTCTATCAATAAAAATTTTACCCTGAAATAATAGAAATATTTAGTGTTTATTAATTTTTAATAATATAATTAATATTTTTCGTTAATTTTTTGACCAAAGAAATATTTTTTATGACTATAAAACAGTTTTCGATTTTTCATAGATTTTTTGTCGACAGAATAAAAAATACATATTCATGTTTAATATATTTGTCATTTATTGTAAATTAAATTCGTATTTTACGAAACTTTTTTGAAAAAAATCCCGAAAAGAATTTCCGATTTAAATGATCAATTTATTATCAATTGTTACGTAAATAATACCACTTGTTAAAACTTTAGTTACTTGTTAAACTTATTTGCAGAAATATATAATTTAATCAATAAAATCAGATATAATAAAAATAACTTACATTTAAGTGATCGATTTCGTGTTGGACAATCCTGGCTGCCCACCCTTTTCCAGACCAGGAAAATGGCGTACCCAATCGGTTAAGAGCTTTGATTTCTACTTCCTTTGCCCTCAACACTTCGCCTGTAAATCCAACAACACTTCCACATAGTTCATGAAACGCGAATTCTTCTGGATTTTTTATCACCATTTTTGGATTAATAAAATATGTTAACGGAATTTGGTCCATTTCGCAAAATTGTTGCATTTCTTTATCGATATTGTTTAACATTTTTTCTGTTACTTCTATAACGAATATTTGCAAAGGAAGACCGATTTGTGGAGCCGATAATCCTGGCATTTGATATTTCCTCATTACTCGAGCTAAATGCTCAAGTATCTGTAACAATGGATCTATTATTTATAATAGATATGTAGATTGCACAGTTAAAAACAATAACTTTTATTGTATGAAGTCTTCTGTATAATTTCATCGTTACATGTTGCTAAAATTAATCGAAACTAATACTTTTTTAAGAAACTTTCACGTCAAAATAAATCGTAAATATTTTGATATATTTATACATAAATAAGTGATTAAAATGTTATATAAATCTAAAATATAAACCCCTGACGTTATGTGAAAGAAACTATTCAATTGTTTAGAATAGGTGTACTGTAAAAATTTACAAATATACATGAAAAGTAGAACATACCTTTTGAAATTCATTCGTTTGCAGTACTTTTGCATCTACAGGTGTCGCTTTCATTCGTAAAACAGGGTCGCCAAGTTGACAAATGTGATTGTACGGAGGCATCGGAGCTTCAGGTCGAAAATAATTCATAAAAGTTTTCTTAACTGTTTTCAAACTGAAATAACGGACACTATTTGTCCTCATGTTTGATACACATCGGTTGATTATATAACCACAATTAAACGTTGTGACTGCCATTATTGTAGAGTATTGCCCAACTTTGTGAGGATTTTTAATAGGTTGAACTTCTATAAAATGATGAATATGTTGGCAAGACTTTTATGTAGACACTGTACTGATATATCATTCTAGCGGGAAATATGATCATTATTTCGTATTATATGCAAAGGGATTAAACAATATTTGTTTATCTATATATTTAAATATAGACATTTCATACATACATCCATTATTTTAATATTCATTAATTTAGTATTATTTTAACTTAAATTATAAGTACAAGCTACCTTGCATTTAAATATTATTATCAGTAATTATCAGTTGATGTATAGCATGTACTCAAATATTTTTTATTTTATTATATTTTCAATAATATTTTTTAATAGAACATGTATTAAATGTCATTCAATGCAATAATATTAGCATCATCTATATTTGCTATGTTATGCTTCTTGTAATTACGAAATTGCTGATTATTATACTTCATTTAAAAATATAAAAAAGGTGAATATCAGCGTGAATACATATCAACTCCTCAATCTTGCATAACCTACGATTTACTGTGTCATTTAGTTCAAAGATCTTGTAATATTCAGTGAATTCAAGCATTAATATCTAGGTTGACATTATTTTTAATTTGAAGAAACGTAAAATAAGTACAGAATCGCAAATATGGTAATTATCGCTTGCGTGTAATAAATACGTAATAAAATTATTGTTAATATTTTTTTATCTTACCAGTTCAAGAATGGAACATTGAAACTGAGTTGTATAGGTAGTACTTCAATGACTACTCTCAGATTTTTATCATCACAAACTGCAGGTACAAGTAAAGATGTGGGTGTCAAATTCAATAATCAAAATCGAAAGCCAATTGTGTTACCATCTGAACCAATGCCATCACTCCCATTTCCTACTATGCCACATCCTTTGCAGACCCCTGTGATAGAAATACCAGGTTCTTTCAGAAATATAATTTATTTCAATATATGAAAAATTCACAAGATCAGAAACTTATTTAACAACTGATAAAACTAATGTTCTTTGCAATTCTGTAATTATCAATTAAAGATAAATTTATAAACTAAATATATAATATAATAGCACTGTAATAGTTCTTCAAATTCAGGTCCTATTGCTGAACCTTCTCTTCCCCAAACTGAACCCGAATCCGAACCAAATTCTAAACCACCTATTGAAATTCCAGTGCCAAATAAAAATGTGCAAGCTAATACTGAAGATGATGTATTGATTAAAGATGTAAGTATTTTCTCATAATTTTGTACGATAGAGTAATATCAGTAAATATGCGATATAATTGATTAATAATTTTCTCTAAAATAAGATTGGGAACAAAGGTATTATAACATTAAATCGTCCAAAAGCCCTAAATGCCCTAAATTTATCAATGATTGAAAAAATATATCCAGTACTTAAGAAATGGAACTTATCTAAGAAATTAGTAATAATAGAAGGTGCAGGTGAAAAGGCATTTTGTGCTGGCGGTGATGTAAAGTCCATTGTTATTGCTATGAGAGCAAACAACAAAACTGGGGGTGAAACATTTTTCAGGAAAGAATATACGTGGGTTGTAACAATAATTATATAAATAATGTATTTTATATGTTTACAAATACATTTAAACAATTAAAATTTTCATATATTAATATAGCTTAAATGACTTGATTAGTACATATAAAATACCATATGTGGCCCTAATAAATGGGATAACTATGGGGGGTGGTTGTGGAATATCTGTTCATGGTAAATATCGAGTTGCAACAGAAAAAACTTTATTTGCAATGCCAGAAACAGCAATAGGATTTTTTTGTGACGTTGGTGCATCATATTTTCTACCTAGATTAAAAGGCAAATTGGGACTTTATCTTGGATTAACTGGAGATAGATTAAAGGGTAAGAAAGATTACTGAAATTAATAATTTGTGTATACAAACACAAGTATACAGGGTGTATTAACTTGGGTTGTACAATGAAGTATAGGTGGATTTCTTATGAAAAAATAAATCAAAAATATACAATAACAATATTTTATTTGCAGCTTCGTTTTCGAGAAAACTAAATTTGAAAATTCTTCACGTACGCGTGCACTTGCCAAGTTTTCGATCTAATAGATCATACTGTTATAGCATTAGATTAACTCATTTCTGTGATCGTATAAACATTAACAATGTCATGTACATATTTTATTGTCCTTAAATAATTACAGTGTAATATTAATCACTGTTCTTCATAATATTGTCAAAATACTGACGTATAGTACAATCGATTAGTCGAAAATGTATCCAGTGCACGTAAGTACATGTGACGACGTTTTAAACTTAATTTTCTCGAAAACGAAGCGACAAATAAAAAATCATTATTCTATATTTACAATTCATTTTTTCATAAGGAAACCATACATGCTCGGCTGTACTACCCGAACCGGCAAACCCTGTATTTTGAAAGCTCTATATTAATTCGATGTTATATGAAAGGTACCGATGTATTATATGCTGGTATTGCAACCCACTTTGTTCCTTCCGAGAAGATACCAGATTTAAAGCAAGATTTATTGACAATGGATTTACCTAATGTTACGGAAGTCTTAAACAAATATCAACCTCAAAATTTGAATAAAGAGTTTTGTTTAGCACCATACATGAACCAAATTGATGAATGCTTCTCTGCATCTTCTGTAGAGGAAATAGTGGATAGGTAAATTGACTATGACACAATTGATATACAAAATTGAAAACATTTACTCTTTTAACATAATTATGTTAAATTATGTTTTACTAAAGATTGAAACAAGATAACTCAGAGTGGGCTAAAAAAACCTTACAAACATTGTTACAAATGTCGCCCACTTCTCTGAAAGTTACAATGTCTGCTATTCAGAAAGGAGCTACTCTCAGTTTGGCAGACTGTTTAAAGATGGAATTCAAATTAGCATGTAATTATGGTTTAAAGAAAAATAGTGATTTTTGCGAAGGTATTTATATTACTGAAAAACATTGATTGTTTAATAATTATGCATGCATTTTTTGAGGCAATTTCATTTGTCCTGTATCACATACTCCTGATATTATTATTGAAATAATATACAAATTTGATCATTCTTCAGGTGTTAGAGCCCTTTTAATCGATAAAGATCAGAAGCCAACCTGGAATCCACAAAGTTTAGGTGAAGTTACTGATGCATATGTAAATCAGCAATTCGCAAACTTGGAAGAAAAAGAATTGGCAATTTGAAATTATTTAAAAATGTTTTACATTTTTTATTGTCAAATTATATATATATATTTCTTTTTATATAACTCTTTATTGTTATCTTGTTAATAATATTTTTCTACATTTAATACACTTTATTAATATTAATATAACTCCAATTTGACATCCACTCCTAATTCAAGGTTTTAGAGTTGCAACATTAATAAGGAACTAGCACGATATATAGAAATCGTATTAAATACAAAACAACATTATTTGTGTAAAATAACGAGTAGAACACCATTAGTACTTACAATTATTGTATTGACATGTAAAAAATGTGATTTTCAAAACCATTAATTTTGACGTTAATTGTCTAAAACCAAGTTTACCTATATAAACAGAGCAATACAATAAATCTATATAATAATGTCTATCTAAGTACAGGCGATTTGATTTAAATTTTAGGTTGATTTAATTTACAAAACATTATTGACACTTTTTACTCACTACAAAAATGTGACCGTGTGTTTAACAATAATATCATCATGAAATATATTTACTATCACCTTCATTACAACTCATATTGATATTGCTTGTTGCTTCATAAACGTTAATAATTTCTATTGATAAGCAACAAAAATTTATGGAAAAGTTGTACATTATACATATATAATATTCACAGATGTACTTCAAAATAGAAATATATAAAACCGAGTTTATATATTACTTTTGTTTAATTTTTTGAAAAACTCACAAAAAATAATGGTACTTAAATATAAATAAACAAGTATTTTTTTCATATTATTTAATAATATCGCATATGAGCAAAATGTTTTAAATAAAAAAAAATAATATTATAAAAATAACTTTGAGAAACACTTGGAATTCTTAAATAGTTTATTATTTTATTTATCAAAATGTTTATATCATTTTTCAGCATGTCAAGTACTTCCATAATGTGATTTGCAAAACGATAGGAATCCTCAGAACTTGTATGGAATTTAAAAAATTCATGTAGAATATTGTTGTAGGCTCCACATGTTAAAAAGAAAGAAATTTGTCCTATCACGTATTTATATCGTATTTTTAAGATATCGTCTTCTTTCCTCATTTGCACTGTTTTGAACCTGTTACTGCAGTTTATCCTATTATAATACACCTCTGATACTGGCATCCAGTACGAATCAGTGAAAGGGAAATGTAGTAAACTGCTGAGAATTGGAGCATTTAAGTTATCATATGCGTTCAGTTAATATATTGAGCGAGCCAGCGGAAGCCCTCACCATACCCCTGTCTTTTTAACACTGAGCACATAAATAATTCCAGCGGACGACCGGGTATTTCACTGCGTGAAATTTTTCCCTAAAATCATATTCATTATATTACATAAGTGTATCAAATAAAATTTATTTGTTGTACTTACTTTTCCTGTTGTTTGACCATAGAGATTAAAATAATTTCTCAATTCGTCTTCTGAAGCTGCACCTGATTTATCAATTTTATTACCTAGTACTAAAATTGGACACATACTAAGTTGTTCGTCGGTCAACAGTGCATCAAATTCAGCTTTCGACTCTGATAGTCTTGATCTGTCAAATGCATCCACAAGAAACACTATTGCATCCACTGCTGGGAAATAGTCCTTCCAGACTCTTCTTGCTATAATATATCATTTCCTTGTATAGATTTAAATTTATGAAGTCTACTTAAGACCAATACTATAATAACATAATTAATTATACCTTGAGGATGTCCTCCAAGGTCAAATGTTGTGAACCTCATATTTCCAATAGATAGTTCTTCTGATGCTGAAACATAAAATTACATACAGTACTGTTACAATATGTATATCAAGTTTAGTCTAATAAATGACGTTAAAAAAATATGTAAGTTGTAAAATTATTAATTAATTATTGGGAGTGTATGAAATTTTGATCGGAACAGAAATCTCATCTCATATATATGCACCTTCTTACACGAAAAAGGTTATGTTAGTAATATTGTAGGAAACATTGCGAATTTCAAGAATTCTGAAGGTCGTCAATGATACAATCATACTCCACTCCATCTCATTCTGAACATCGGAATCCCGTGAGTTTTTAATTTCTGCATACCACTAATTTTGGATTTTCTATTCTGTGTTCAATTATCATGCTAATAGCATATTATAAGCTATTCAAAATAGCAAAAAATAAACACTTCCGGGAATTCCGGATGTTTTCGGGATTCCGAACATTCTCGAGATCACGCATATCCTTATTAGTTATTAATTTAAAACTTCAATTTTAAACAATATTGCTTTCAATAAACTATCTTTAATAATTTCATTATAAATAATTGATTCTATTAGATCTTGTTACAGAGTTCTGCTATTGTTATTCATGATTATACAAATAAAACTGTCATCTACTTATGAGTGATACAGTCTTGTGAAATATGCAATATCATCCACAAACAAATGATACACCAGCCAAAGCATTAAAGACAAAATCAACCAATAAAATTATGAACTATTCTTATTGATATAGCAAAACAATATATTGTAAATAATATATATGAAAAAAATACCAAGTTCCAAGCAATAATTACTAGTAATACATTAATAAATATTGATTACTTGGGTGCAATGTAGGTACATGTTGTCCTAGTCGATCATCTTTGAGCCTATGAAGCAATGTGGTTTTACCTGCATTGTCTAAACCAAGAAACAGGAGTTTACCACTCTTTTTCCAAAACCCTAGACATAAAAAACATAAAATAATAATGTAGCATAATGTAGGTAATAAATAAAATAGATGCAGGCAATCTTATAAATTTAATATTTGTTAATGTATAAAATGAGCATAAATATTCTAAATTATCGAGGCAATATCTTTTATATAAAATATATTTATACGTAAAATAAAAAAAATATATATTTAAAAAATCATTATAAAAATTACACTCACCAAAATATTTTAAAACCCCTGCAAACCAGTCCAAAATAAGCATATTTGTAGATATAAATGGATATCAGGTCCACTGTGTCTAACTACTGAATGACTCTGCAACAATGAAATTGACAAAATTATCGACTGCAAGTAATTGTATCGTATAGTACAAGCGAGTTTTTTGAACCTATCGTAGCTTGGTGTGACCTAAGCATATATAAATTGCAACAAAACATACTGCAGCAAAATGGATAATAACAACAAACATTAACGAGGAACTATTTTAAAATAAACAGTGAATTAGTACAGCTTTGTGTACTTTAGGTAAAAATAAAATGTAGCATATGATCGGTGCAAAATTACAATTAAAATTCGACAGACTTACCAGATCTCGCCCACTAATAACAGTAATACGATCTTTCATTCACCACCACTAAAATGCAGAATTGCAGGCGGGTCAGAAAAGCGTTCGCATGGTATAACTACGTAGAACCTGTTACTTTGTCACTGGACTAACGTATCCAACGTGAAAAAATACACGAAGATGTAGGAGACGAAGAAAAAGTGCTTTTTCTTCTACAGAAAGTATAGCTTTAGCGAGCCTGGTGTGGCCTGGTTGGCTGGCAGTTGGCACTGATGACGTCTACTTCCGTCAGCCATATTGTTTGAATAGTGCTGTTTCATAAGCGCGGATTTTAAGGTCAATTCCATCTAATTTTATTCAGCTCCTAGCTGCTATTTCATTCATATATTGTAATTTTTGTTTTTCTTTCTCTTTAAATAGACAATTATACTTTCCGATTACAATATCGACTAAAACATTGTAATAGTAATAGTAAATATATACAGGCATATACAGCTCAGATATACAATATTTATTTTACTACAATTATTGAAAAATATGTATATAATAACTCAAAAACTTTTCTACGAAGTACATTTATTTTAAGACTAGAAATCGTATCGTGTAGTTGAAATTTCGATATCCCTAGTTTAAGCTTAATTTGGTAACTTTATAGATTGACTTCCCTAACCTCTTCACAATTATTCCATGTAACAGTGATTATGTCGGCAGGTAAAATTTATGTTTTTCTCTGTTAGAAATTAATATTAACACAAGTACGTTAACAGTACCATTTTTATTTGTATATTATACTACAAATTTATACAAAAACAATGTTTATAACCTCAAATGAAACTTTTGATAGCAATGTTTTTATTAGACATGTATATTCTGTTACTTATTTATAGGATGGTTGATAAACAATTTTCGTTTAGCATACAGCCACATAGCTGGATGCAATATGTACTCTTGTTTATTTATACAATCCAGAGATTATGCAGCTAGAAAAGGTACAAGAGAAAAGGCCAGAAAGAAGAAAGTTAAAGTTGTTGCTGAAAAAGTTGGGTTTATTCCACATAATGAGAGAATTTGTAAAGGGTGAGTATATTATATTGCTAGTTTTTATTATAATTAATATTAATCTATAATTATTAAATAATTTCTATAATAGGGAAAAGGTGCAGCCAAAAGTACCTCCACTTTTGGCATTAGATGATAGCTGGAAAAGGAAATCAGTGGACGATGTATGGATAGTAAAATATCATCAAAAACCAGTTTATTCCTTAAAAGAAGCTCTGGAATGTCATCGTGAACTACATCATCCAACTATGTACAATAAACCAAATGCATATGTTAATGCATATATTGAATTAAATTTGCAGGTCAGGAATCAGATTTTATCCACTTTTTTATTATATTATACACTCTTTTAATAATAATAATAATTGGATTAATAATAATGATTGGAGTTTGTCTAAATTGATTTTTTCATTCACTTCGTTACAATTTGATTTATTAGTGCTTTTTTGATAAAAATATCATATCTAAATTATATAATAGCGTGAAAAGAAAACGAAAACATTGGAAAGGTTTACAAAACTAGTTGATACGCCACATATATTTCCATTAAGTGAAACGCGATCAATATTAGCTTTGTCTAAATCAAAAGAAGATCAAAACATTGCTAAAGAAAGTGGAGCCGATTTTGCTGGTGGTATTGAATTGATTAAACAAATTCAAGTAAGGCCTAATGAATAATTGATTAAATTAAATAATATATAATAATTTCTGGTACAGGATATTTAACATTGATATTTATAGGGTGGAGATTTTTCTTACAAAGAATTTGATTACGTCATAGCTCATCCAAATATTTTACCTGATTTAATAGTAATTAGAGGATTATTAAGAAAGAAATTTCCAAATATACATTCGGGTGAGTAAGTGTACTCATTAACGATAATTTCTTCTATTATCACTAAATATGAATCTTGGTGACTTGAATGCTTCAGGTACTTTGGGTACTGATATAGGTATTCTTATTGAGAGATGCAAGAGAGCAATACAGTATACTGCACAACCAGATAAAACCTTTAAAAACTATGGTGTAATTGATGTAGCCTTTGGCATGGTAAACTTAAATTTATTAAGATTTGTCCGACGTGTAAAATGTATTATATCTAAAAATTTTGTACTCTTTAATGGTATTTATTTGATTATAGCTCGATATGGAGATAAACCACTTGGAAAAAAATTTTTCCTCCCTTATTAATAATGTTTATGCCGTGAAACCAAAACGCGAGGGAATTTTTATCCCGAGGTATTATATAAGAACGAGATTTTGTGATATTACCAAAACATCATAATAATTTACGAGTATAGATGTTTAAAACATATTGAAATGTTTTAGAGTTCAAATTAGTTGTTCAACATCAGGGGAATCTTTTAAAATTAATTTTGAAGAATATCTTTCAATGAAAGCTGAGGAAACGGCAAAAGAAGAAGAAGAAGAAGAAGAAGTTAATACTGCAGTTATTAGTACACACTAAATGTATAACCAAATGAATAAAGTAATATGTAATTGTTATTCGTAACGATATACTTCTCATTGCATTCCTGTTGTTTATTTACGTTTCAGTTACATCGAAAATTCATACGCGTGCGGCATCGCGTTGAAATTTCGGCCAGATTGCCGGTCGTTCGAGTTCGCTCGAGACGAAGGAATATAAACAGTGATAGAGGTGACTCGGGTTCTTTAAATCCGCGTTAAATTTCGATGTTTACACGACGGATTACCGTACAAACGTGGATCGTTTTCGTTAATAAATATATTCCGTTATCGTAAATTAGAAAGTGAATCCGAAACTATGTGCAGAATGGCGAGGGGTCTCGTTAACGGGAACAGAATATTAAGATCACGATTCGCGGTCCGTGCGTTCGGATGCAATAACAGACCAGCTGCGCAACGAAAAGACTGAGGAGCGTAAGAGCGCGGAAGATGAAAGAACAAGACGAAGCCAAGTGAAGCGAAGGAAAAGGGAATGGAGAATGGCGAGCGGCCGTGGTGGTGAGACCGGTGGAGGGGCGACGGCTTACCTACCTGCCGGTCTAGAGCTCAGTCGGTGTCCGCCAGGTTGAAAATCCGTCGCTTCTCCTGTCCGTCCTGCACGTGACGTTTCCCAGTTTCGTCGAAGAGGCGCGAAAAAAAGGAAAGTTAAAGTCGAAAACCGACAACACATCGAAACGAGTACCGTACGCGGGCGACTTTAATCAGTGTTCGTTAAAAACATTCACCGATTAACCTTCTTCGAGCCGTTGGCGAACGTCCCTCTTTGGTATCCGGATCGCTGAAAAAACGTTGAACCGCGCTTTTCGACTCGATAACAGTGCGTGCGAGTCCGCGCAGTCATATACACGCGCGCGATTCCACGCGTGTAGTATACGTGTGTGTGTTTACTAGTGGTGATCTGTGTTGACTGTGCAGCGAGCAACAACCACGACAACGGTGATTCTAGGTTACATCGAATTCGTCGGCGACCGATTGTTGTTACCGGCTACTTTATAGACATGCCTGGATTGGAGAGCAACAGACGGCGGCATTAGGTGACACACCGGCGCAAACGATACACACACGCACACGACAGGCGCGCGAACAAGTATGGTAAGTGCCAGACTGGTATCTACTTTCGAATACGTCCAATGGTACGCTATTGACATGTGCCGAATTTTGTATCGAATTTACCGTGCAGCGCGTTGGTGTTTGCACGGAACGATTCTTAGAATAGAATCACTTGTAAATGTGAAAAAATTCAATCAAATTGTTCCATTAAAAACGCAAGTAACGAGTACAAATATTATTATTTTGAATATTATAAAAATGGCGTCGAGATTATATACTTTCCGGTCCGATATTTTTAGTTCCTGCTATCATAAATTCTATTATACTCTCTGTGGTACGATTTAATGTTATCTTATTTTTTGCAATTATAAATTCGTATCGGCTATTTGCGTATTTAATCTCAAGCAAGCAGCAATTTTATTTTATTACATCATATTCAAATATACGGTAAAGCCTCGATTTATCAGTTTATTTCGGAAGGAGATTTATTAAATCCAATCGGTCGTAAATTAGAGTCTATACATAATCTAAAATTCGTTAAATAACAGATAATATATTTTTAAGCGGATTTAAAGCTACAAGTCAGTTATATGCAAGTATAATACGTATTCGGGATTAAAGAATTTCTTCATTAAATTATTCAGAAATTATACATTTGTTTTACTCGGCGGAAGAATTATATACTTCGTCGATCTTCGTGTTTATTTTAATATGTACTAGCAAGAGGAAATAGTACCATTTGTGCTACTGCAAAAAGATGGAGCGATGTTTTTCACGTGTAAATTACGTTTTTACGATAGGAATGTCGATAGCCATGAGTTTATGCAATACCTAATCCTAATTAATAGTAAAATAATTTTTTTCGAAAACTCTGATCTAAGAGCATCTTCTTCGACTCTTTAGAGTAGATTGAGGTAATACGATCTTCAAGAAATTATTCGATTCTAAAATAACTCAAGGAAGAACTCAAGATTCGAGGTTTTACTGTAATAAGAAACAGTAAATTTTGACGTATTCGATACTAAAATAATAATATAAGTACGTTTCATAACAAGTAGCATGCACTTTGGAATATAAAAGATCAATACGGAGTATTTTTAACTAACTAAATTTCGAACGGTATATATTTATTATTTGATGCTCCACGGATAGTAAAACAGTAACTTCTCTCTTGCAAGATCAAACACAGACGGAATCATAATTTTACGGATCCGTTATGACTCGAATATACGGTTCGCATTTAAAGGGTATCCGATAAAGGTCACGCGCATCAGATTATCAACAGAGTAGAAACGATGAGAACTTTGGCGTCTTCATTTGGCTCGTGACGCCAGTAGAAAGGAAGCGTTAAAAGAAATACAAACGAGCGATCTTATGTGGAACGTGTATGTATATGATTTCATACGCACACGCAACTGTCTAATTTTAAATACAAATACTATACGCGCTCGTTAGGGATAAGTTTACGATTCTATTATGATTTCATTTTAGATGAATTTATGCATAGATTCTCTGCAATTACTCGTTTTAACGAATAATTGAGTTGGTAAATCGGCAGGTAGACCGTTTCACATATCGCGTAGGAGAATGATCAATTCTCAGGGGATCGAAATAACAACAAAATTTACAAATATTCTAGATTCTAAAATTACAAATACAACTATTGTTAAAAAGTTGAAAGTAGTCCAATTACAGATATTTTGTTACAATAAAAGTCCTATACAGAGATTCTAGAGGGCAAAATAAGACGAAAAACAAGAATATTAATTTGTTGATGGAGGCTTTGTTAAAAAGTTATTAACGTTTAAAATTCCGGCCGTACTGAGTTTTTTTCTCGAAAATGCGCAGGATTTCGGGGGTATGTCTATTCACCAAAAATGATTGTAATTTACCCTCGCAACCAAAAATAATTTTTCGAAAACGATTTGAAATTTTTTTTTCCGTCGAAAAATTTCACATCTTCTCGAATTGTTTTTTAGAAAATGGGTAGGATTTCGGGGGTATGTCTATTCACCAAAAATGATTGTAATTGACCCCCACAACCGAAAATAATTTTTTTTTTTCGTCGATTTTAGGCACCTAATTAGATTTTCAGTGAAAAATTTTTTTCTCGAAAGTGCGTAGGATTTCGGGGGTATGTGTAATGACCAAAAATGATTGTAATTGATTCCCGCAACCGAAAATAATTTTTCCAGAACGATTTGAAATTTTGGAATTTAATTGTTAATAACTTTTTAACGAAGCCTCCATCAACAAAGTGGTAGTCTTGATTTTCGTCTTATTTTGGCCTCTAGAATGTCCCATTAAAATTTTTCCCAGGGTTGGCCGAACACCCTGTATAGTATACATATTATATGACGAAATTCCTTGAATTGAATCTGTACAGAATTTCTTCCTATTTAACAAGTGTATCTTGTCACCTTTGAAATTAACCAGTTAACTGTGGCGATTTGCATATGAACGAAAAAAAGCATGAGAAATCAATTTCTTACTTTAACTTGCTGTTAGAGAATGGTGTTGAGCAAAGCATGGTACAATGCATAATGAATATATGAATCCGTAATCGCTTCTGTGATGACTAATAAAACACAATGATACATTTACGAAAACTAATTCGTAGTATATGCAGTTTTTTTTTATATTAATTATTTATAATTTTTATTTGTTTGTTTCATTTTGTCTTGACCTCTAAACATTTTAAACATATTAAAATTTACGAATATAATTTAGTTTTCGCCGAAATTACAATTTAAATATCAAATTGTAATAAAATTTTACGCATGATGGACATAGTTGTCATGACACAAAATTCTGCCACATCTCCATGACGGATATAGTCCTCAAACACACTTAACTGGTTAAGTGGCATTCGATCGGTGACCACATTTCGATCGTACGCGACATCTGATCACGTCGCGAAGAGGCGATCACTCGAACGTCAAATTAGAGGTGCATCGATAGTATAGAAGCATCATCAATTTTGATTACCGCGAGTTTAGTAATATTAACTCCTTAACGATAGCTAGCGCGCAAGACTGCGTTACAAACTGTGTTCCAGGCGAAGTAAACAAACAGTCGCGTAGGTCCGTATTTCCTAAATCGTTCATTTTAGAGGACACTTGTTCATAGGATAGTTTTCACTTATTCGTTTAAGTGTTTACGTGTATCATCTGAAACGCCTCGGATAAAAGTTGTACTTTTCAACTTCTGTAACTCATTAGTAACTTGACATCGCCGGTCGCGTGTCGTGGATAACAACGAGGCTCGCTTCGAGCCAGTAATTATAGCGCGTGACATGCGTTCACGTGCGTGGGTACACTCACGAGAGCATTGGTCGAATAATCAAATACCATGGCAATCGGTTGATATTTATCCAATACAGACGATTTTGTACCACTAAAGGTTTCTTTCGCAAAAATGTGTACGCAATATTTATTTGTTATATTAGCAAAGACGAAGTTTCGTTAACTATTAGAAAAACCACAGAACTCGGAAAAGTACATTTTTCCAGGAGAAACTAAAAACTGTTATTGTACGAGTTACATACGTGAACTCGTAATATCAGAAATGAGAAGCTCTAGGAAACATTTACAAAAAATTATTTTATAAATTCAAAATGTGTTTTGTGTTTAAACATCGCATCACTTGTAGAGATAGTATTCTGGGGTCATTAAAATGTTTGTTCTATTTATAACTAAACTCCAGAGATGCTTTTCTTCCGATCAGATTTTTATCCCGGTAGGTTTGCTCGTACTTATATTTCTCATTACGATCAGGCACATCAAGTTCAATGAAACGATAACGAGAAACGAACGATCCGTTGGCATAGTTGTATTTCAGTAGCAGTTTCTACTAATCTTATAAAGTTATCCTTTCATATACACGTGCCAAGACGAGTTTCTCGGTCAGTCATGCGTGTAGATTGCTGTAAAACCTGGCTCTGGAAGTAAATGCAAATGATACCTTTAGCTCCGCGTATTTTTGCATCGTCGACGTTTCCCTTTCCTGTCTCCGCCAACACACGTCTGTACTCTAATTGCATTGTAATAAGTGTGCAACGCGAAAAAGTGTCGGCAGTCCTCCGTACGGCTCGACTCTACGCGACTTGCATGAAAAATTGCTGATCAATATTGTTATCTTATGCACGAGGTTATTACAACCGCGAGTTCTTCTTTCACTCGCTACCAGCAGTCATTTTTATCATAATATTGTTCCTTTGTGCTGCTACCGCGTCGCTGGTCACAACTATAGCTCGAATACTCGTTGGAATTCGATTAAGAACCTTTTATGGTTATTATCATGCAAATATCTCCATGTAGAATTGACATCGACTCTTATTATTAACATCGTAGAATAACTAAGTTATTATACAACGTGTAGGAAAAATGTTTGCACGCGTAAACGAAAAAGTATTTTCACTAAATTACCCACTTTGTTTACACGAAAATACCTCCTATAAATACAATACAAAACTGAAACGACTAATGTAAAATAGGCGTTATTGTACCTGTATAAAAGAATTCACCCGATAGATTCAGGAATATCCAGAATCTAGATACGTATATGTTTAAAACAATAGACAGCGTCCTAACAACCGCTACAGCGAGGTGTGATTACTAATATAATTAAATATATCCCATAATATCCAATACCCATAAATATTTAATTACAATTTCTTAAATGTCGAGAACCTCCGTTTTCGAAAATCTGAAAGCAGTTTGCATTCGAAGGTAATTTAAGTGGAAACTCCAGCATTTGCCTTCGAGCCAAACGAGATTTTTCTTCGCGGTGTTCAAACATCTAATATGGAAAGTATATCGTTAACTATTCATTGTGTTCTATGTTAATTTTTAGCAGTCAGTTTATATAATAAATGAAAATCCAGGATCGTTTCGCGATTAAGGTAAACAGAAACTCGCGAATCGGTATTCTTTTCCGTGGTACGATTAATTAGAAAGCGCAGGAGAGTTTGCCAAGTCATTTTGTTCTATTATATCTCAATTAATGCTTCTGCAGTTTATCTTATTGTATCGTGGTTGCCA